GAGGCTTATGGTGCCTGGCTCAGAAATATGACTAACTGGCATCAATGTTTGGGAAACTGCCAGCACAAACATCATGAAGGAGCTCTTGGCTGGAGCCAGCTCCTACCCTGTGAAGATATTGTCTTAACACTCTGTCCCCTGCCTGACATCTCTGATTGCCTCCCCTCCATGTCCCTCTCTTCAAGGGTGGCCTCTTATCCACATCAATTCAGGGCAAGGTCTTGCAGTTCTTAGGCTCATCAGGCTCAAAAAGCCATGGGGCTCGTGTTGTCACCCCACAAGCCAGCTGGGTCTGTCACCTCGTAAGCACAAGCCAGCCAGGTCCTAGGGACTCACCCTCCTGCTCCTGGCATTTTTGACATTCTCAAGCAAAATTTTCTGTTGGACCTGCAGACTTTGCAGCTCCAGTTGCAGCACCTAGCACCAGGAGTCCCTTAAATTTAGGCACCCCTCTAAGCTCTCTCGAGCATTGACCAAAACTGCCCAAAAGGGTGGGTTTATGCTAAGACATAAGCCTGTGGATGGGCGAGCTGATGCATACGGACATTTGCCATTCTGTAGACATAGCCATGAGGCTGTGATCCCCACCTGACATTCTGAAGTATATTTAAATCGCATAACTGCAGAAGTAATATTTTAAAATAAGCAGTTGTTTTCTCAGTGAGCATGAGTCAGAGGAAAACTAAAAACCATTTTTAACAGTTTTGTTTCAGTGGTTTGCAGAGTTACATATACTTTAGCCACTGCTTCAATGCCTGTCCCACATACCCCTTCTAAATTGCTCTGCAGCCGTTGTGTTGCTCTTCCTCAGGTCCTCTGGATTCTCTGGCAGTCAGCTGCTTGCAGCAAATGCAGCATTATGGGGCTGGGTGTGCAAGAGCTGCACTGGCCCACATTTTTTTCTAGCATAAAATCTTCTTTGAAACGTCTTCTATTCTTCCCTTCCAGTAGAAGAGCAGAACAGATTTAGTTATTTATCTCAATCCTAATTAGAAAGGAAATATCAAATCATTTTAATTAAACATCTGTAGAGCCCTTTCAAAGTGAAAGCTCTGAGTAATGTGAATAATTCGTTGCATATTGGGATGAGCAATGCCTCACACTGAGTGCACTGCTCAGCAAAGCGATGGCCCAGGTTTGCTGGCAGTGAATTTCATAGGGGTGAGGGCTGCTTGAGCAGAGCCTACTGGCACACATGAAAGCCAATGTTAGCAGGTAGCGACTCCCTGGCACCCAGGTAGCAGGGGTCTGCTACTAGGTGGTGTGTTGTTCTGCCACCCAGGAGGGGCTCCAGGAGATGGCTTTTGTGTAATAGGATGACATCCTGCGTAGAGACCCTAAGGTAAAGTTGAGAAGCACTGGCTCTCAGGGACTGTGGCTGAGTATTCAAGTTGCCCTCTCTCCTGCTTTGCAGTTGCAATCAAGGACCAATCTTTGCATCTCTGCATCTCTGAGAGGCAACTGGGAACATTTCTTCCTTTCGATTTTGATGATAATTCTACTGTTTGATCTGAATGCTTTTGGACTGAGAACACTGTCCCAAATTGGCCGTCTTCTTCTGCCTTCCTCGGCCACTGCGGATGCCATGCCCAACTGGTTTGAAAGGGCCTCTTTTTCTTCTGATGTGTACTGTCTCAGTTGCCGCATGAAATGCTGGGGGTTCTCATTCCTGGACCCTGCTCTTAGCATTCACTTTCACAATAAAACTCTTTTTCCCAGAGTTTGGAGAAGAAAGCTGTTAACTTATCCCCATTCAGAGCCAGATGTGAGCTATTGAGGGGTCAGCAAAATGCCATATGCGAGGAGGTGTACAGGATAGGGTGCTCCTTGCAGTTGTCCCTGTGGGAGTTCACTTCATCAGCTCAGAACAGACCAATGTCATCCCAGTCCCTAAGACCTTAGAGATATTGGGAGATCCAGTGGATTGTTGTGGTTGCTTTTTTAAAGCTGCCCACTCCCATTGCGTTTAGCCCTGCAGAGGAAAGACAGATACCCTACATCTTTGGGCAAAGACTTCTGATTGCCCCAAATCCCAGTTTTAGAAATGGTACCCCTCGTTGTCTCTTTTAAGAGGTATTCCCCCAAGCTTCTCTCTGTCAGACAAGATGTTCACAAGCCATTGGTGATGTGGGATGCTCCTGCTTATCAGTGCGCTGCGAGTTATTCCACAAAAGGACCAACTGTCCCTTGCCTTGCTGATGTGTTCAAGTGAAAAAGTGTTTAGGCCGTATGAGCCATCCTGGCTGGGTCTGAGGCCGAATCCATGGCAGGCTTCATATCTGGGTAGCTGGTGAGATTATGTCTTCCTTTTCTCTCTCTTGTACACCTAGTTTATGCCTTTCCTCAGAATAGTACATCTTTCCTTGGTTTTGATAGGTTTCTCTCTCACCGCTTTGTGCTTCCCATTTGGGAACAGAAAGCCTCACCTTTCATTCTCCTTTCTCCAGCAGTATGACTGGGAGCTCTTTGCACTCAGGAAGTGTAAGACTTTGAAAACTCTGTGTCTGATCAGCAGACAGTGATTTCATACCTAAGCAGTGGTTGTCTGCTTAGGTATGAAACAACATTTCATATGAGAGAATCTCCTGAGATTAATTATCTGTGCAAGATTCAATAGTGATCAAGTTTGTAGTGTTTCATCTGCCATCCCCAGCAGCCAGGATGCTCTTTCTGGGGGCTGATTGAGTGTGTTGGGCATCAATAATTTTCACACATGGTTGCACAGGGGACAGAAAGAAGCATCTAGGCTAGATGTGAGGGCTCAGATTCTCCTTGCACATTCTAGCCATTATGTGCTACCTACGTTCATGTATTAACTGATAAACTAAGGCTACTCAGTTGGGTAAAGTGCTGTCACTATTCCCTGCGCAGCTTGCCTCCTGCATCCTGGCACAAATGATGTTTGGAGGAAAGAAGGACAAAAGGAGGAGGAAAGAAGGAAGAGTTAGCAGGTCAGTTCACAACACTAGTGCCCATAGAGAAGGTACATGCAGGAAATTACACATGAAAGCACATAAAGGAAATTACTGAAGCTTCGAGAATGTGTGTTGTAGGGTGGACCTAGTGCAGAAGTCCTGAACTCTCATCTCCCTATTGTGTAGTGAACACTGAAGATGTCAGGCAATGGTGAATTAACCATGACTGAGGCCCTATGGAATAGGTATACAACCTGGAAAGCCTGTAGTGTCTCTGGGAACACCAAACAATGATTCATGATAGGGACAGTGTTCTCACTGGCAGTTTATGTTTCTGAATTAGGGTAAGAGGGAATCTACAGTATAGTGCAAATACTGCAAGCAAGTCTCTTAGAGGAAAAGGCAACTTGCAGATGGGCAAAAGGCAGCTTGCCATTATGACTTACCCTTGCTACCTTCTGTAAGGAAAACTCTGAGTCTCTGGACACAGAATTAGAGTCCTTAGGGAAGGTTGTTTTCCTGGGGAGAGGTGAAGGATCTTATTTATGTTAAAAAGAGGACATCAAGCATCACAACAGAAAAGGTGCAGGCTCAGAAAGTGGAGAGCTCGTCTAAATCACAGCAAAAGGTCTCAAACAGGGCAACCCAGCAGGCAATTCAACTGAAAATGCACATTCTTGGTTATCTCTTCTGGTGAAGGTTGTCTCTTCTGATGGTTAATTATCCTTGCTGCCTGACATGGACAACCATTTTCCAGTGTGAATGATTTGCTCATCAGCTTCTATCCATTACTTCCTATTCTCACCTTTGCTATCCTATGGAAAAGCTTCATGCTGTCAAAAATCTCCCCCTGTTGTAATTGCACGTCTCTGAGTGCGCTAAGTAGATTGAGGCTGGGATTTTCAACATCATCAAAGTTTCTCTACAGAATGCCTGTTAATGCAGTGGCTCTCCCTTCATCCCCACTGGAGTGCCAGCCCCACGGAGCAGCACCCACTGCAGGCTCCAAAGGACTCTCCTGTGTTAGAGCAGGTCCTGCAGGTCCAGCCTCTGGAGGAATGTGCCTGGTGTTGGTCCATCTCCAGGAACACACTGTCCTGGTTGGTTCTGACTAAGTTCTGGAAGAACTGTAGTATCTTCAGAGAAGCAGTATGTCCTCACTCAGGCCATGACCCACTGCATCAAGAGCACAAACACTAGGCATTATGGGATGGAGGTACCTCATGTCTTCCCATCACTGTATTGTAGAAAGCAGAGCTAGAAGAAAAATGCAAGCAAGGCTAGATGCACAGATTCAGGAATCCCAGGTTCTGGGGTCTTCATGACACTCCTGTGCTGCCCTTTGGGTCAGGGAAGACAGATTGGCACTCTATTTCAGACTTGCTCTAATTTATTTGTAGTGGACTTATTTAAGAATATAAGACTTCATAAATAAGTAGCTTGTGATGTTATTACTCTGTGTTTTTGTGGGACAGCTGAGAGACATGACTTCACAACTGATGTGGCCCCAGTGAAGATTAAGTTTTCTCTAAGACGTGGCTTCTGCTCTTACCCCCTTGGGAATCAGACACTTGTTTCTCCCTGCAGCTCTTTAATGCATTTGTCACAGGACACTTTGGGAGCAGATATTGAATAGCAGATAGTAATTTGTTCTCATTAGTGAGTGCCTCCACTCATCAGCTTACTCAACAATATCATCAGTATTTACTATCTTACCAACACACTTTTTCTGATCTTTAAAATGTTTATCTATTCAGTTATCTAATTATGAGTCATCTCCTAAGTTCAGTCTTTGAAGAGTTATGCTCAAGTTGACTTATGCAATGTGTCTCAGTTTGCAAGTCCCCTAGCTTCACAGATTTAAGGCATGTCACAGGAAACCATCACAACATCTGCCCCCAGAGTTTACCAGCTGTGAGAGGTGTTTATTTTCTGCAGACACACTTGGATCTAAATGTACTTCCAGGGAAAGCTGTGCTAAAATGGCACAGTTTCATGCTCCCTGTTGTTACTGTGTAGGAACAAGCTCAAAGTGGAGGTGCCCTTCTTATTTTGCCTTGTGCCTTTTTCCAAAGCTCCTCTAGCATTTTTACATCTTATTCCCTTCCTCTACACTTGTTTCCCATTTGGCCTTTGAGCTTTTATTATGCCATCAGCACTGGGATCCTGGAGGATGATGGTGAGCTGGACTGGGACTCACTACTGTACATCTGTTGTACAATCCGGGGATTTCATCACTAAAGCTGGCAAGGCCCTGCTGTCAGCCACCCCAGCTGTTGTGGTGGCTTCAGAAACTGTCTGGCTAGAAGTCCCACACTATCTGGAATGCAGGACCCCACATGCAATTGTTACTGTTTGTGGACACAGGCTCAGAGGTGGGCACTCTGCAAAGAGGCCTGTTTCGGAGGAGTGGATCCGGAAAGGGCAGTGGAGCGACACAACTGAGTGTCGCACAGGGAAATTCCTAATGCCTGTTTATCTGCTCCCTTAGCACAGGGCACCAGAGCCATGCAGGGACTGCTTGCACAAATGGCAGTAACCACTGAGCATCCCTCCTAACATCCGTGCTTTTATCTGCCACCCAATCCACTCTTGCTGCTGTTTGCCTGCAGGTATCAGAGTGCTCAGAGCTGTCTCCATCTCACTGCCCTGTGCTGGCACGTGAGCACCAGTGAGAACACAACAGAACCAGTCTAGAATGATGGCTCAGGGCCCTCTCCCATCCCTTGTCCCATGCCACTAGTGTAATCACAGCAGTGCTCATGCCTCTGGATGGGTCCTGGCCCTGGAGCAGTGGTCCTTTCTCTGTGCTTCCCGCTTCTCTCCAGCTTGTTGCTTTTTGGGTAATGGAGAAGTAGCTGCCTGGGGCTGCTCTAACCACTCTGCTTTGCCTGGCCCTAGGAGCGATGAGGTGGTGGCTGTGGCCAGCATGAACTACGATCCCATCGTGTCCAAGGTGGCTGAGGTCCTGGCTGCTGGCAGGACCATCCGAAAGCGTGACGTAGAGTAAGTAGGCATGCTGTGGGGAGCCAACAATGCTGAAACTGGGGACTGGGCCCAACCACCAGTTGCAGGGCAAGGCTGAGCACCTTGGGCCAGGATCCTGCAGGGCCCTGGGCAGCTCCTTCCTGCCACTCCCCATTCTGCGCTGTGCTCTCATCTCCCTTCCTGCCCCACTGCCTGCCCTGCTCACTCCTCCACCCCATTCGCTATCTCCCAACCCCTTCCTGGTTTTCCGTCTCTTGCATTTACACACAGAATTTACAAAGAGATGTCTTTAACACCGAGGTTGGGATCCAGATCGCTCCTGTCCTCTGCGCTCTGTGCAGGCCCCTCCAGCTGCCCAGAGTCCTGTGCATGGCAACCTGCTCCGTGCCATGAGGGCAGATATGGTTTGTAGGTGTAAAAAGCCTGGTAGTAGGAGTTTAGAGGTCAACTCTAGGCCTTAACTTTGGGCTCCTGATAGATAGATGTACAGGTCTGGATGCAAAGATTCAGGTGGATAACAGTGAGTTCCTCTTCCAGCTATTCTATATGATACTTCCAGTCTTGTGAAAGCAAGGTGACAAATGAGCACAAAAAACCATATTGACTCCCCAACTCCCAGCAGAGTTTGGCAGGAGCTCTATGAGACTGAACATTGCGCAGATCTGAATGGAGAAGGGGGGAGAATTGCACAGATCTGGAGGCCAAAATGGGACGGTTGCCTCCTGGACTTGCCTTGCGCTCACTGCCACCAGTATCACCTAATGCTGAGAGCCCCATGGTAGGCCTCGGGTAGGTACTTGGACACGCAAGGGTAAGACACAGAGGAAGTGCCAGATTTGCAGTCTTTGCACCAGACTTGCACATCTCAGCTAGAACAGAGCCTGGAAAGCTCACAGTTCAGGGGATCCTGCCCTGGATGCCTCTGCCTTCCTTCTAAATGGAGGTAATAAGCCCTCATTTCTTCTGAACCTTCTCTGTCTTTCTGTTTGGTTTATAAGCTATTGCAACAGAGATTTTTCCTGTTACGCTTTCCTAGACAGCTCTGGCACAGTGGGGCTGGGGTTGGCATGCACACATTCAGGGCCTCTGTGCTGTTACAAGCTCCTATATCAAACAGGCTCCACATGCTGCCTGTGTAATGCCAAAGTCCCACTGATACATGAAACCCATAAAAGACAGTCCCCTAGGACCTCCTATTTCCTAGGATAACATCCGCTCCTGAACCAGACATTTACAAAATAGTGTATTTAGGGAGGGGGAGTTCATAGGAAAAGTGAATTTTTTTTCATTTGCCCTGTTTTTAAGACTTCTCACAGAAAAGAATGTGCCTCCATGTGCAGAGATCAAGTGCAGAAAATGTTGTGTTGAAAGGTAAACACTGGGGAAGTTATAATATCCTGGAAGGAGCCTTTTGAGTGGAAATTAGAGCTGTGGAAAGAATGTGGGTTCTTGTCCCAAAAGAATTTTCACAGGTTAAAAATAGGTCTGTTTTGCATTTGGAGGAAAATTAGAACTTTTTCGAAAATCCTGGGAGAGATGCACTCCCAGGCCCCAGGTAGCCATGAACCCAGCTCAGACACGCCTGTACCACCTGGGAGAAGTACCAGGAACTTAAAGCCTGGTCTGCTACATTCAGGAAACATGCCTAGCCACTGGCTTATCATACACAGGGTGGCTGGGGGAGGCCTGCCCCTATTGCCCCCGTATAACTCATTAAATGGTTCTGGCTGCCCCTGCATGGGAGGGATTTGTGGTTGGGAGGGAGGTTGCCTTTTCTTGTGGGGAGCCTCGCAAATGCAGAGAGTTGCTGGCACTTTGTGATGGGGCTCATGCTGCTGGGGTCCAATCAGTCCACTGTGAGCCCAGGAAAGGGGTCTTCAGGATTTGGCAAGCCCAGAGGAAGGCCACCTAATCCTAACTGTCTTTTCGTTCTCTATTTCCTGCTGCATTCACATCTTTTAGGCTGTTTGTCCGTCACGGCAAGTATGTTCCATTTTGGGTTCTGGACGTGTTGGTAGGATAGGATTGCAGGGAGAATGAGCTTCCCCCCCCCCCCCCCCCCCCTTTGGCCTGCGTCGTCCTTCCCTCGCGC